ACTAATAAGGTTGTTCATGGTTATAGTTATAGAATCAAATTGAACCGCAGTCCGAACCACGGTTAAAATATCGATATTTGGTTTGATTTGGTTATGTTTGATTTTAAAATTTGAAGAACTGATAATATTTTGTTTGATTTTGATCACTCACACACACACACACACACATTAATTTAATAATTATTTATAAATAAGATATAAGTATTGAGATAAATTTTAATTAACCTAAGTCTTTAATTTTACTATTCTGAAGCGTAACATTGAATTTATTTAAAGCCCAGGTTAAAGAAGATGGTAATTGATTAGTTTTGAATGTGAAACATTGATTATTTTTTTTGAAAAGTAATTTCTCAATATTTAAGGTGTAATTTAATTGAAAAATCTATTGAGAAGATGTTGAGATCTCCAGAATATGAACCAACTTTATGCTATTGACAATTAATTTTTTTAGTTTCTAAAACTTGAGAAAATTAAAAGAAAGGTGTCAAATAAATCTTGGTTTGGTTTTTGGTGACAGATTGACCAAGAGCTGGTCAAATCCTCTTTAGAATGTAATTAAGTAAATTTTGGACCAAATTAACTTTTTCAAAATTCACAAATCTTTTATAAAATACAAAAAAAACACTTCATTTTTCAACTTTTATAATTTTATCCCAACCATTTTAAAACAAAAAGTAAATGAAAATAGGATTTTCTCTTCTTCTTTTCCAAATGTTCTCTCTTCTCTTCTTGTTCTTCCTTTTGAAATCTGAAAATTCAACAATCAAAACAAATATTCTTCTTCATTATCTTATCTTCCTCCTCATCTCCCATCGTGACTCTATCCTCTTTCTTTACTGAAGATTTTGTTCGACTTAAAATGGATAAGTCATTTTTTGGAAGATTTTACAATTTTGGCACAATACTAAGCTTTTTTCTTGGATTAATTAAGAATAAATCGTTCTATAGACGTGAAAAATGAATTTAGGGTAATGGTACCTATTATTTATTGTTTTAGAAAGAAAATTAACAAACCCAAAACCATAATTTCAGAAAAAGTATATATAATGTTAACATTCAGTGAAAATTTATTTTTTGTTGTTCTTTTTATGACCATTTTGTTCATATGAATTAAGAAATATAGTTTTGTTCAGTTGTCCACAAATATTTGAAGTGTAGGAGATTGAAAAAAAATCTATTTCTACTGCTCTGTATCACACTCAAACCCAAAAGGCAAGGAGAACAAGAAGGAGAAGGAGAAGGACCTAGAGACGGAGAAGGAGAAATTGAAAAAGAAAGCGAAAGAGAAAGAAAAAAAGACGAAGTCGTCAATTATGATGTGAAGCAACAATATCCACCATTGATTAGATTGATGGTTGTGTAAACCATTGTGAATTACTTTTTTTGTTGATAAGTTGTATAAAACAATTGATGAAGTGTATATTTTGGCTGATAATGTTAATTTTTTTGTTGAAACAAATGTCAATTATGATGGAAAAGAAGAAATGTGGTGTATGTGGCAACATATATAACCTATGTTGTAAAAAACACCACAAAATTATCTACATGTGCCCCAACAGAAAAGATATATGTGGCAACATATGTCATAGAAAGAAGATCTGTGACAACATATGTCACAAAAAGAAGATATGTGGCAACATATGTCACAAAAAGAAGATATGTGGCAACATATGTCACAGAAAGAAGATATGTGGTAACATATGTCACAGAAAGAATATATGTGGCAACATATGTCCCAGAAAGAAATATATGTGGCAACATATGTCCCAGAAAGAAAACATGTGGCAACATATGTCCCAGAAAGAAGATATGTGGCAACATATGTCGCATAAAGGAGATATGTGGTAACATATGTCACAGAAATGATATGTGTGTCAACATTTCATTGTTATCAACGTGGTGTACGTGACAACATATATAACCTTAGTTGTAAAAAAAACTATAAAATTATTTGCATGTACCCCAACAAAAGGGATATATGTGGCAACATATGTCACACTATGAATTATAAAAAAAATGAAAAAATAAAATAAAAATGTCTAAAACAATCGTCCTTTCATTTTTCCTCTCTCCTCTCCTGTATAAAAGCTCGTTTCGTTTCATATTTCAAAATTAATTTATTTTTACTAATTTTCATTTTCTTTTCTCTCTTTCCTTTCTCTCGTTCCATTATTTATTTACAGTTCAAATTGTTACTATGTTTTCTACAACATCAATGGTAATATGTTGCGATTTCTTCTACAACAAAGCGTCTTTGCCCTCATCATTTCTAGTTTATCGTTAATATCTTCTACGATAATATATATAATAGTTATTGGTATTAAATAAGGACTTTTTTAGTGTTTTTTTATCACCTATTTGTTTGTACGATGGTTGGGTTGTTATTCCATTTGTAATATTATCTGGAAAAAAATACATTTTAAAATGTACATGTTGCCACATTTGACATTGTATGTTGCAATTTTTTCAACAAAACGTGCATATGTTGTCACGTATGTCACTTCAAGGTTGACTTAATCGATAAGTGAGTGATTAGGAATGAGAAAATGTCAAATTGGATCAAATTTTAGTACTTTGGACCATAATTAAACGATAAAAATATGTTATAACAGTTTAAACAACAATTTACATGGGTGTTATAAAACCATCATATGAAGTTACTTGGTCATTGTAGGATGAACTAGTGATATGATAGTCTTTGTAAAAATAATTGATAAAATTGATGAAAGTTCTTGTATTAGACCATATTTTTATACTTAGACATGTTGTATGACTATATATTAGTGTTACATGTTGAATTATGTGACAATTTAATTGAATTAACTCCAAAAGACCATTTTATGATATACATATGTTGTCACATATGACATGCCTGTAGCAATTTTTCCAACAGGACGTGCATATGTTGCCACATATGTTACTTCAAGAATGGGTTAATCGATAAATTGAACGATTAAGGAATGAAAAAATGTCAAATTGGACCAAATTTTAGTACGTTGAACCATAATTAAGTAATAAAAATATGCTATAACACTTGAAACAATGATTTACAACGATGTTATATAACTATATGAAGTTACTTGATCATTGTATGATGAACTACTGATATGATAATTTTTGTAAAAATAATTGATAGAATTGAGGAAGGTCGTTATATTAGACTATAATTTTGTACTTAGACATGTTTTAGGATTATATATTGGTGTTACATGTTGAATTAAGCGATAATTTAATTGAATTAACCCTTCAAAGACCATTTTATGATATATCTATGTTACCACATATGACATTTCTGTTGCAATTTTTTCAACAGAACGTGCATATGTTGTTACATATGTCCTTTCAATGATGACTTAATCAATAATTGAGCAATTTAGAATAGAAAAAAGTTGAATTAGACCAAATTTTAGTAATTTGAACCATAATTATGCAATAAAAATATGTTATAACACTTGAAACAACGATTTATAAGGGTGTTATATAACTATCATATGTAGTTAATTGGTCATTGTATGATGAACTAGTGGTAAATGATAGTCTTTGTAAAAATAATTGATAGAATTGATGAAGGTTGTTTTATTAGACCATAATTTTGTACTTAGACATGTTGTAGGACTAATATTAGTGTTACATGTTGAATAGGTTACAATTTAATTGAATAAACCCCAAAAAGATCATTTTATGATATACATATGTTGCCACATATGACATTTTTGTTGGAATTTTCCCAACAAAACGTGCATATGTTGCCACATATGTCACTTTAAGGATGACTTAATCGATAAATTGAGCGATTTAGGAATGGAAAAATGTCAAATTGGACCAAATTTTAGTACTTTAAACCATAATTAAGCAATAAAAATATGATATAACACTTGAAACAATGTTTTCCAAGGATATAATATAACTATCATGTCGATTGTGACATGTAAGTCATATGTTGCTACATGTCTAGCTTATATGTTGCAGCTTGTGTAAGTTATATGTTGCAGCTTGTGTAAATTGTGTTGTTATTGAAATAACCTTTTTGTTGCTACATATAGTTATAATTTGTTCCAATAGTCAATTGTTGCAACGTATAGCAATCTTTTGCAACATATAACAATCTGTTGGAAACGAGAATGTAAATTATTGAAAAAATTACAGGTGCCCAAATGACGATGAATGATTTCAAAGAACTATTAATTTTACATATCAAACAAAACAATGGTGTGTTTGTTCCAATAGTCAATTGTTGCAACATATAGCAATCTGTTGCAACATATAGCAATATGTTGGAAACGAGAATGTAAATTACTGAAAAAATTACAGATGCCCAAATGACGATGAATGATTTCAAAGAACTATTAATTTTACATATCAAAATAATGGTGTATGACCGTAATCATTTATGAAGTAATTTCAATTAAGAGCAAACAAAATCTAATCCACTGACTAAATTAGTTAAATCTGATTCAAGAAGAAGAAAAGAAGAAAGCTCAAGGACTAGCAGCCAAGACCAATAATGTACGAAAAGAACAAGAAAAAGATGAAGAGAATGGAAAGAAAGACAAGCAAGCAAAAAAGAACGATGACCAAATCGTCAACTTATAAATTTGAAGGTAACTCCACATTCCTTAATCATTAATCACATAATTGTCACCTATACCGATACTTAAAACTTATATCACCACCCATTTATTTTAAAACCTTATTGTCACTTTTTTTCAAAAAATCCCCTAAAACTTGGAACATTGGATGAATTAATTTATTCATGTAATAAGCTTATTTGTGAATTATTCATATATTAAGTGTTTGTGTCTATCGAGATGCGTATATGCTTAACAAATTTGAACAGAAAAAATCAATCAAACCGATAGTTATTTTATTTTATTGATTTAGTTTGATTTAGAAATTTCCAAATCAATTTAAATTGATTTGATTTTAATTTTAACTAATAACTTATCCAAATCGAAATAGAAACAAGATTACACAATTCAATTTGAGAAATTAAAAAAAAAAAAAAACGAAGAAAGAGAAAATAGAAGCTGAGGAAGTCTGGTGTCCTTCCTCCGTGGATTGTTAGACGAAACCCTAGTTATCTCCTTTTCTCCTGAACACACAAAGTTCTTCTCGATCTCTCGCCATTTCGTTGATAGAGACATAGATATAGTTATTGTTATAGAGAAAGAAAGGAAATGTATAGAGATCGAGGTGGTGGTGGTTCTTCCAAATCGGAAATGGTTGGAGGTAAGCGAATAAACGATGCATTAGATAAGCAGTTGGACAAGTCTTTAGCGTCTACGTCAAGGGCGTTGAAGGACAAAACTGTTCCCTCTACATCTACAGTTACTGGAAAATTGCATCAGCGTCATCCTAATCATCATATGGATCATCAGCGTGACACTCTCTCTTCATCTACTCCCACCACAAAAAACAAGTGCTCCGATGGTAAGGATTATCTTTTATGTTAATTTTTTTTCCCTATCAATATTTATGTTTTTTAGTGCATTACATTGTTCTCATATATCATTCATTTAGCTGGAGATGAGTTTGAGGCTTTAGGTTTGGTCTGATATTTTGTTTTTTAATTGGTCCAATCAATTCTCTTTTCTTTCCAACTTTTTTTTTTTGGAGATCCAACTGGCTCTCTTTTTCTTGTTCAAATTATACATGTAAATTGGTTCTAAAATTCACTGAACTTTATATTTATCTGTATGTATATGTAAAGGATCTAATTTGGCACTTCTCAGTGGGGTTGTCTTGCATGGATTTATGTTCTTTAAGTAGGGGTTTATATCCTGATAAAATGTGTTTTAACTTGGCTGGAGTAATAGGATGTTCTTTTTCTTCGGAAAGCATCTCGAATGTGGTCAGGATTATGGCACCTTATCAAAAAAGAAAAACGTAGAATGTGATCAGGAAAAAGTTATGTCAAGTGTCAAAGGGGGAACATGACTGGAAAAGCTGTTACTGGAATGCTATTCTATTCTGCTCGAGGTTCCTTTTGTATCTTCTAAAGTTCCATTGTAGATAGTTCTAGATTCTCAAAACCATTTAAGGTAAAATCTTATATGGTTTTAGACGCATGATGTGTGGGTTAGGTACACATCACCTGTTTGAACCCAGACAAAGGACTTGTATTTAAGTGGAGAAGGGTAGACTGGTGGACCCATTATACATGTAATTTCATTTTGTGTACCATTAGCTGTTGGGGATCACCTGGTTCTAAAAAGGTTATACTCCATTTTTTTTGCAAAATATTCTGGTTGTAAGCATGTCACGTTCTCGGTTGTAAGTTGTGACTTTCGATAGTAGGTCTCTTTAGCGATTGCTTCTTTTGTCGGATTCTTAGACTTGCTTACTTGGGACTTCCTGACAAGTGGATTCATTGTAGATGATTTATTAATGAGTACTCAACTGCAACATCTGACAGTTATGGTTTAGGGTGGTGGGGTAATGTGGTTATAAATGATGCTCTCATTTGGTATCTCACAACAATTGAAACCAAGAGTATTTATCAATTTGTTTCTCCTTGCTACCCGCAATTACTTGGAAAGCCAACTCATGTTTCCACTCTATTTTCACTAATCTTTCTACACCAACCTTGAATTTTGATTAGTGGTATCTTCCAGTGCTTTATGTCAGAGAGTTGGCGTATTTTACCCATAGATACTGGAAAGAGTAAGATAGTTTCCGCTATATTTTTGTTACTCCTTTTAGGAAAAGCCAGAACATGTTTCCTCTATATTTTCATTACTCCCCTTAGGAAAAGCCAAAACATTTTTGCTATATTTTGGTTACACTAATGACACCGGCCATTTAGTACAATGGCTGCACTTATTTTGCCTATGCTTCTGCTTTCTTAGTTCCGACTTTCTTACTTGCATGTCAAACCTGATATGAGTAAATGCCAATGGCTGTGTACGTTGCAGAGGAATCTGAATCAGACAGTGAAGAATCTGATGTTAGTGGTTCTGATGGAGATGACACATCATGGATTTCTTGGTTTTGTAACCTGCGTGGGAATGAGTTCTTTTGTGAGGTTGATGATGACTACATTCAAGATGATTTTAATCTTTGTGGATTGAGTGGTCAAGTTCCATACTATGACTATGCACTTGACTTAATCCTTGATGTTGAATCATCTCATGGTAAGTACAATTGCTTCTTTAGATTTTCTGATGAATTGCAGGATAACAACATTTGACTTGTCTAAACTGTTGAATGATTCAAGTTGTTGGTTTTCTGTAGATAGAAAGAACTAGGTAAAACATGGTTTTATTTTCTACCTTGCTTCACACTTCCCTGTGGAACTCTGTCTTTTTTTTCTAATACAAATTAATACTATGTTAATTTCGGTGTAAAGTCTACACGTTTCTAAACTAGTAAGCTTGACTTCATATTTTGAGGTTGACTGAGCTACTTGGTTTTCAAGGCTGGAAAAGGGAAAAGTTAGTCTCTGGTAACGTACCATGCGAGATTGTGCTTAGCTGGTTAGATCGTTTGTAGACAAATGCATGAATTTGGATTTGAGATGAACTAAATGAGTTTTTACACATGCCCTTTCTTAGTGTTAAGGTTTGTAAGAAATGATGTCTACTGATGTTTGGGGATCCTTACAGAAATAGTTGGCGGGTTCATTATTTACTTTTCTAGTCGGTATACATGGATTACATACTGATTATACATATATATACACATACTATACATGCACAGGCTATTTTTAGTTTAAGCTGTTGAATGAGCGACTATTTAGGTTAATTCTCTGATGTTGTTTTATGCTTCATAGGGTTTTCATGTTACACTCAATTTGATTGAAGGCATGCCCGAGTTGTACTTAAGAACCGAATGGAAGTAAGTGCTGGTTGGTCGCTTCACTTGCTTAGGTTTGTCTGCGTTTCAATGAGGTGTACCAAGGTGCAATGATGTCCTCCTTCAGGAAAAATCAACCAACTAATTTTAGTTATGTTAGTTTACGAAAAAGTTAATGTTAAGCGGTAAAGTTGTCTTCTTGTGAATAGGTCACGAGTTCAAATCGTGGAAGCAACTACTAGTGCTTTGATTAGAATAGGTTGTGTACAGCATACCCCTTGGGTCCTCAAATCCCGTGTGAACAGATGATGCTTTGTGCACTGGGATGCCCTGCCCAAAGTGGTGTTGTTATGAAAGCATTATTAAGAAAATTTAGTTGAATAGCGCATGAAGAATAATAAAATTATAAATTTAGTAAGGAAATTAACTGAAGATTAATATGGAGAAGAAGAAGAAGAAATAACTAAGAAGTGGCTAAATAAGTCTTTCACGCGCCGCGCCATAAGCGAGTGTATTACAATCACTATATCATATAAGCAAAAAGTGTCAAAATAACACATTGAGTCCTGGCATGAGGTGTTTAAAATGAACAAATCTTAGTTTAGGTGTAAGTAAAAATTAGTGTCAACTTTAGGGGTCCACGAATGGGTCCAACCTTTTTTTTTCAAATAGTCTCCAAACAAAGCTTTCATATAAACATTCACTCCTTTATCTACTTACTTCCTATTTCCTCCCGAAATAGCTCTTTAATGCTAACATACACAAACTTATTACGAGGATCTAACACGGAAGCAATATAAATCATTGGGTTCATATTTTAGGATTACCCCAATAGCTCCTGAGTTTTTTTGATCATATGCCCAATGATAGTACTTAAATCAAGACCGTCACTTGTTAAACACAATTTCAAATATACATCTAGCTACATGTATCCTACCTAGAAACCTTTATGGTAAGCTCATAAAACTTTTCAAGAAACTTTTACCACATTTCTCACATTTGCCCAATCATCACATTCAAGTGCATCTACAATACTTACATCTTCACAAACATGAGTAGATAACTAAGTTTTAAAATTTGCATCAAAAAGATCTCAAACCTATCAAAGACCTTCTCAAAATGTTGTGTCTTTTCCAGCATCAGGTAGGCGGAATTCCACATAGTAGGCACATTGAGCGATAATGTTTTATTACATTCCATCTTTTAGACTACACAACATTTCACAAAGTTTCTTGGTCTTGCTGGAGATGATTTAACATACCTCACCATTTGCCTAACTCGTTTGACAGAAATATCAATTTCCTTCAAATCTTCTTGCACAATTAGGTTAAGTATGTGAACCATACATCTCACATGAAGATGCTCACCACCCATTATATTAGTTCCCCACATATCGATCTGCTTTGACAATTGTGTAACCATAAGAGTATTAGAAGAAACATTGTCAACAGTATCACAAAATACTTTGTCCAAGTTCCAATCAAGCAAGCAGTTACCATTAGCCTCTGCCATTTACCCACCCTTATGACTAGAGATTTGGCAAAAATTAGTGTTCCTTTTATGCAACACCCAATCAAGTGAGCAGTCAAACACATATAATTAACTCCTTGCATTAATTTTCATGTATCAGTGGTGATGCAAATCTTACTTTTGTGGATGGATTTTTTTGATTGTATCTAAGTTCACCATAAAGTTCATAACAACCCCTTGTTTTTGTTCTATGAGGAGGAATCTAAAACAGAGGTTGGACTTGATTTATAAACTTTTTGCAGCCTTCCTTCTCAATGAAGCCAAAAGGTAGTTCATCCACAATTATTTTCTCAACTAAAATCCTCCTAACTAATTCTTGTTCAAATTTCCAAAGTGGTGCTTACTTAGATGGAAAGTTTATCTTGTGTTGAGAGGGACTTTTCAATGATAGGTTTATAAAATGGCACCTTGCTAAATGTTGGTTCAATCATATTGTACAATTGATGGAAGCATAAGCAAGAAGCTGGTGACAATACTTGCACTTTGCTTTACTAATACCATTTTCAACCACCTATCGAAATGCTGCCAAGCTCTGGATCTTGGTCCCATTTCTTTGTTTTTCATTGTAGCTCGTTAAGTGATCATTTGAACTGGGCAATAGTAACTCTACTTTCATCCTCCATCTACCATAAGTGAAAATTTAAAAGAGTAATTGAGTAACTATAAGACTATAGTGTAAGAGAATGAAAACGCAAGGTGATTATTGAAGACTAAATAACAACAAAAGAACCAAGTCACTCTAGCACAACCAATAGCAATCTATGAAATCATTAAAAAAAAGATTTTTTGTAGCAGTAGTAGGTATTGACGAGCATTTTAAATTTGACAACACAAATAAATAGAGCCGCCTGAGAAGAGAGACAGAGAGTGAGATATGTCAGACGAGAGTGAGAGTTACAACTTACATATTGTCGCGACTAAGAGATACCTTACACTGTTGGAGAGAAGTCATGCCGGTAGCCGCAAAGAAGACTGAGAATTGAGATTCTTGTGAAAATTCGAAGGGAAGACTAGAGTGTGGGTTGCGGCTGTGTTATGAAGTAAGAAGTATGACTTGTTAGTTTTCTTTTGTTTGTTTTAAGACTAGGGGCTCCAAAATTTGGAATTGGGTGGGTCAAATATTAAAATGTTTTGGTTTAAAATTTAAAATATATAATTAATAAAATTTAAAATATTATTTTAAATCTAGTTAATTAAATTTTGGTTTTTTCGGTGCACCGAATTTTTTTGGTTTACCCTTACACCGAATACCAAACAAAAAAATTGAAATTCAAAAAAATAAAAAAAATGAAATCAACCAAATTAGTTTGGTTTTTGGCTTTTCGCTATTTATGCCCCCACCCCTACGGTACACCCAAGTTGGACCTCTCTTTTTGTGACATTGAATTCAAATATAGTATAGACTATAAAAAACAAAACAATAAAAAGAAGAAGCAGAGTGGATTAGTTGTAGCGTAGTAGCGGAGAAGATTATATTGAAAAATTGAAAACAAAAGAAGAGAATTGCAGAATGTGACCTACAATTGTGTTGCCCAAGCTAGATCTCTTTTCGTGCTATTTAATAAAAAATAGAATTAACTACAAAAATATAGAACAGTGAAAACAAAGATGACAACAACAAAAAACATAACAAAATAGAGGGAAAATTTCAAAACATGGAAAAAAGAGCATAATAGGGGAAGGAATACAAAGTAGAGTAAAAAATTGCTAAAAAGGAAAAAATAGAGCGGATTAATTGCAGCGCAATAGCAGAGGATTATATCAAAAAATAGAAGAAAAGAATTGTAGAATGTGACCTACAATAGCATTGCAAAACAAGTTTAAAAAAACACCTAGTAGTAGTGTTGTCAAAGGCTTAAGCCCTGAAGCGAGGCTCAAAATCTGTTGAGCGCTTCACCTCGCTTTATGTGCGCTTTAGTATCATCATCAAGATTCTAAGGCAAAATGTTTTCTTGCCATGAGCCTCTTATGAAGAAGTGAAAACTAAATGATATTTCACTTTATGATGTTTTTTTTTTCAATTTCTTTGGTCATATATTGTCATTAATGTTAATAATTATTAGTCTTGGACTAAACATGTATATTTGTATTTTATTCTCCCTTTGCGCCTTTTTTCATTAAAGCCCACACTTATTTGCGCTTAAAGCCCCCACATACCCTAGAGCTTTTTTGCGCTTTTCGCCTTTGATAAAACTGCCTAGTAGTTGACTCAAATTATAGAGTTAGAGAAAAAAAGAGAAGATGAAAAACATACATTTCAGTTGCACCAGAGAAAGTGAAATGGAGGGAAATGTTTAGCAAGAAGTGGTGCAAGTGTTTTTACATTTTTTTTAAAAAAAAACTAGTTAATCTAACCTCACTTAAGCAAGCTTTTTCCCGCTTTAATTATTGCGTTGCTTCTCGATTAAGTGCTAGAAGCGCTTGTTTTTTCACGATAGCCTTGCTTCCGAGTAGAAAAGTGATAACCTGGTGCTTCACTTTGCTTCTCGCTTTAAGCAATGGAGCACTCATTTTTAATAACATTGTACAATATCAATACATTACTCATATACATACGACCATTTTTGTTTAAAACTTTTTTGTTGTCTGTTCAGTTACGTAAGACCCCCTTATTAAAAGGTATCACTTCTTCTAAATCCAGAATTCATCTCTTGTAAATAGGGTCATGATCTTAAGGACATAGTATTGTGCAACTTTATTCAGTTTCCTACCTTTTTTCATGATATTATTATAATTATTTCTAAAGCAAATTATTGACTAAAGGTCCTTTTATTCAATAATAAAAGTCTGTCCAAACAGGCTCAAAATG